TCTGATGGTCAGTGTGCGTTGGCCGGTGATACGTGGAGGGGGGGGGGGGGGTTATGCTAGCACGATTTGGTTACCATGCGACGTGACGTTGGAGCTGACGTTTGCCGCCATGTTTGCTGTCTGTCGTCCATGTTTGCGGCCACCGTCAGAGTAAGAGCCTGAAGCTGTCAGACGGTGGTTCCGCATCCCCGGCCCGGGAGAGGCCGGCCGGTTCCCGTGCGCCGGCTGATAGCGCCCTGGTCGTTCCGGCCAGCCCTCGGTCTGTTTCGGCCAGTCGTCGGTCCATTCCGGCCGATCCTCCTTCGGTCTGGCCGTTTCTCCGTCCGTCCGGCCGTTCCTCTGTCTGTTCCAGCCAGTCCACGGCCCGTTCCGGCCAGTTCTCGGTCCGATCCGGCCGGTCGTCGGTCCGTTCCAAGCGGTTCTCGGTCCGTTTCGGCCAGTCCTCGGCCCGTTCCGGCCAGTCCTCAGTCCGTTCCGACCAGTCTTCGGTCCGTTCCGACAGGTCATCGGTCCCTTTCGACCAGTCCCGGTCGTTCTGGACCATTCTCGGTCTGTTCTGCGCAAGTGCTCTGTCCCGTTTGCGGCCAGTTCTCTCTGTCCGTTCCTGCCGTCGTTGGTGCGCGGGCTGACGCGCGCCCCGTTCCATTACAGCCGGCGGCCTGTTCGACGGCGGCCTGTTCGACGACGCACCCATGCCGGACGCGCCGCCGCCTTCCGAGCCGCCCGAGTCGCCGGCGGCGGCGGCGCCCGAGCCGCACCACTCGGACGACGAGTTTGACCGGATGGACGCCAGTCCGATGGGCGGCGGGCACAGGTTGGCCGGCCTCCTCACCACCGCACGGGCCAGTGGGCTCCTTTGTCCTGTGTACAGTGGGTCCGCACCGGCCAGTGGGCTCCTTTGTACTGTGTACAGTGGGTCCGCACCGGCCAGTGGGCTCCTTTGTACTGTGTACAGTGGGTCCGCACGGGCCAGTGGGCTCCTTTGTACTGTGTACAGTGGGTCCGCACCGGCCAGTGGGCTCCTTTGTACTGTGTACAGTGGGTCCGCACGGGCCAGTGGGCTCCTTTGTACTGTGTACAGTGGGCCCGCACCAGCCAGTGGGCTCCTTTGTACTGTGTACAGTGGGCCCGCACCGGCCAGTGGGCCCCTTTGTACTGTGTACAGTGGGCCCGCACCGGTCAGTGGGCTCCTTTGTACTGTGTACAAGTGGGTCCGCACGGGCCAGTTGGGCTTCCTTTGTCCTTGTACAGTGGGCCCGCACCGGCCAGTGGGCTCCTTTGTCCTGTGTACAGTGGGTCCGCACCGGCCAGTGGGCTCCTTTGTCCTGTGTACAGTGGGTCCGCACCGGCCAGTGGGCTCCTTTGTACTGTGTACAGTGGGTCCGCACCGGCCAGTGGGCCCCTTTGTACTGTGTACAGTGGGCCCGCACCGGCCAGTGGGCTCCTTTGTACTGTGCGCAGTTGGCCACGCTCCCGAAGGAGATTGGCTGAACACAAAATTATTGAATTATCTATTATTATTTATAATCACGAAATTATCTGGTTTCGGGAATAACAAGGGTTTTGGCTCGGGAAGTGGTGTTAATATCAGGGCGATCAGTAACACTTAAAACGCTACAAACCCTCTCTGTGCTCTTTTTCGGCCGTAGCGTTTTAGTCCAGAGCGCTGCCGTGGTGGGGAAGTGGGTGGGTCGGGTGGGGGAGGGGGGAAAAGATACCACCAAGGCGAATTGTCGCTCACCTTTCATTAGGGTTTCAACGAAGCCAACATTTTGCACAATTATTTGTTTAAACAGAGAAGAAGCAAGAAGGGCGCAAGTTCACCAGAAAAGGAGGCCATGTTTCCCCATGTTTTCTGCGATGGCGATCTTTTGGGACGCGGGTGGGTCCTTTTAGGTTCTGTGATTGGTTGTGTCCAGCATCCTGTAGTCGGCAGATCATGTTCCGTTACTTGTGTAGTTGTTCCTTAAATGTGACCACCGTTTGTGGCTTTTTATCAACAAACACCGTACGCCCCGGTTCGTTATAGGTGTGGACTATGATGATGACTGGAATTTAGGGGTCCGCGACATCGAGGATCATTTTGCGCCGCCTGTGTGGACTACGAAGGGCAGCTGAGAACTAGGGATGTTTTGTGGCGAAGCTGTTTGTTTTTGCGTCATGGTCATGCTGAAGGCTGGCCGTCTGGCGTCCGTGCCGGCCTCACGTGACGCTGCGCAGCCCGCCTGCTGGCCGACACGTCTCGTCTGGCCGCAGCTCTGACGGGGACTCGCGGCCCACCTCGCCGACGGCGGCCGCTGCGGCCGGGACCGAGGCGCCCGCCGAGCCGCCGCCGCCGCCACAGCCGGAGGCCGGACGCCGAGCCGCCGGGCGCACGAGCAGACCACGCTGCTGCAGAACGAGGAGGAGACGTTCGCCCTGCCGCCGGTCGACGCCAGCGCCCTGAAAGGTGCGCGCGGGCGGCGCCGGGGCGACGGCCGTCCGACGGCC